AATGTCAGGCCTATAATTAGTGGAAATGTAATACACGTGTAATATTTTCATCAATAACAGTACCAAGGAAGTGGGTGGAGCAGAGCTGGGCTGGAGGAATTGACTACAGGTGGTAAAGGAAGCACGATTCCAGAGTGCCGCTGAGTTTGCAGCATTACTATTGGTCATTTAAGTAACATAATGCCATAAAAAGGGGAAAAAGGAATAAACCCACATAAGATTAATGTTTACGTATATCACTGGAATTAAGCCAGTATAAATCTGAACCTGATTGTGATGTTAAAATGTAAGTGGTAAACCCTAGAACAACCACTAAGGAAATAACTTTAAAAAGGGTAAAAATCATTAAGGAATTCATAATGCTACACTAGACAACATTCACTTAACATAAAGAAAGCAATAAAGGAAGAATAGAGGAACAAAACAGACATGAGAAAAATGGGAAACAGGGAAAATGAAATGGCAGATATAAATCCAATGATATCAATGATAATGTTAAGTGTGGATGAATTTAACAAGCTGATAAAAAGGCAGAGATTGTCAAACTGGACCAAAAAAGGTGATCCCACTTGCAGCTGGCTGTAAGAGGCACACCTGAGATTCAAAGGCACGAATGGACGAAAGGAGTGGGAAAATGTACTATGCAGAGGACAAGTACGGGAAAGCTGGAGTGGCTGCACCGATGTCAGACAAAATAGGCTTTAACACAACGAGTGTTACTACAAATAAAGAGGGATGTCTCGTAACGATAACAGGGCCAATCCATCAGGAAGACATAACAATTAGAAACATATGTGCATCTAACAACCGAGCTCCAAAATACATGAAGCAAAAGCTGGTGGAAGGAAGGGAGAAATAGATGGTCCTACAGCAACAGGTGGAGACATCAACACCCCACTTTCGATAACGGATGTAACAACCAGACGGAAGCCAACCAGGAAACAGAAGGCTCGAGCCACACCGTAAAGCAACGAGGCCTACCAAATGTGCTTAGGACGTGCCACCCCGCCACAGCGGGACACACATTCCTCTCAAGGTCACGTGGAACATTCTCCAGGGAGGATGTTTTAGGCTATAAAGCAGACTCGGCTGTCCAAGGCCACCACACTGGACGGCAGTGCGAGGGGCTACGGAGGTGGGCTGAGACGTTTCAGACGGTGATAAGGACCCGGTTGGGGGGCAGGTGGACTGGAGGAGGGCTCTGGTCGTTGGTGGGGGTGAGGCTGAGACTCAGGGTGGGTGGCAGTGAGGTGGGGGAGGGTGAAGGATATAGCAGAAGCCACGTTGAGGGCTGTGCTCAGGGGAGGCGACTGACTGATGACTGAGGCTTAGACCTGGTGGTGGTGCTTGGGGTGCGTGCTCGGGAGACAAAGAAGGCCCCCCGCACTGTTCCAGGGAAGAGGAGTGGAGTAAAGAGCGATTCCACAAGCAAAAGCACAGTGTAAACTTCCAAACCCTAAATCCATGGACCTCCAAGGACACGGCAGACCGAAGCGGGACGTCCGGAGGGGCTGACACTGGTGTGCAGCCCTGTCTTTCTCAACTTCAGCCACGACCTGGAGATGCACTGCCACTGGCTTTTTGAAAACAACCTCAGCTAAGTTTACTTAGAAGTAAATACCCTCTTCATAATTCTGATTTTTAACTTCATGCCAGTCTCCACCCTCTGGCTAACTGCCCCTGTACCCGAGCATACCTGCCAGCACCTCTGTTCAGTCCACGTGCTTCTTGCTGGCTGCAGGAAGAACGCACACCTGCCCCTTATAGAGGACTCAGATGCCCAAAGTGTTTCCAGATGGGAGAACGTTAAGCTGGCCACTGCCGGGCTCACCATGTGGACCTGGCGAGCACAAACCATTCACGTTCAACCCGCAGACGTTTGGGGTGATTTTCACCAGCAAGAAGTGGCACCTGGGTGTGCGACTGAGGAACAGGAAGAAAGGGTGGGCCGTGGCCCAGCACCTGCCCAGGAGCCCCTGCCAGTGCAGTGTGTGCACGGAAGCTGGGAGGCTGGAAAGCCCCAGGCCAGGTGGGCCAGACGGTCTCCAGCCGGGCTCCCAGGGCGGGAGACAGATCATCCCCTTCAGGGCAGCTCCAGCCAGGCCAGAGCTTCCCAGGTCCTCCTGACCAGGTCCCGGACCGCCCACGTCACTGAGGGTGGCGTCTCCATAGCAGTTGTGCTTAAACACAAAAACCCGAGCAACGGCGACTGCAGAGTCTATAGAAAATATTGGGCAGGGTGGATGAATTACCCAAGTGTGCTCCAAGAGAAAGGATTTGGCGTCCAAAGGGGCTTTGAAAATGGTAAAAGCTTCTTTGGGTGTATTTGCTCCAATAATCCACAGAAACAACCGTAATCTAAAAATAGGCTTGTTTTCTGTCCTAAGCTCCTTTTAACTTCGTTAGTCATCACCCATCCTTAAAATAAAATCCGTGTAACGTCTCTCCTAGTAGCAGCTATAAACACACTTCGAGAGGAGGCCCGAGGAGCCGGAGAGACGGGAAGGGGAGCGCGGGGGGCCGCGGCCGCGGGGACGGAGGCCCGTGGTCCCGCGGTGGCCGCAGGACCGGCCCGAGGCGGACACGGGGGCGCGCTGGCCGCCGAGCTGCGCCGCCGCCCCCGGAACTCCCTGCGCCCTTGGCGCGCGGCCACCGTGGTCCCGGCAACGGAATTAAACAGAGGGAAACAGACGGGGATTCCGTCACCCGGGCGGGGGAATAAGGGGCGCGTTGAGAGCAGGCAGGAAAAGAGCTTCTCTGGATGGAGTGAAAATTATTTATTGGAGGAAGAGGAGGAGGGGCGGTGGCGGCCGACAGCCCCCAGCTCGGCCCCTCTGCAAGCAAGGGGCGCCCCCGGCCCCAGGGGGTCCCGCGGGCGTGTGAAAGCGCGAGAGGGGCGGACGGGAGGGGGTGAGAGTCAGTCTTTATTTTAATACAACTTTCCACACCGCCCTTCGCCCCCCGCAAGGACTCGGCCCCCTCCTCCTGGCCCGTCCCGGTAGTGGGGCGGGACCTCTCCACGCAAACTCTCCTGGCAGAACCCTGGCTCCCAGGTCTGGCGACACCAGCACGTACCGCGGCCAGATCATTTTTAAAGGGAGGGGCGAGGGAGGGGCGTGGGCGGCCCGACCCTAGCGCCCCCTGGCGGCTTCCGGCTCCGTTGCACGCCCCGGCCCCCCCGCCCCGCCTCCGCCCCCGCCCCGCGTCCAGCATCCTTGCGGAGTCCCCCCCCACTCCGGCCTCGGCGTCCTCGCGGGGTCCCTCCAGCCTCGGTGTCCTGGCGACTCCCCCGAGCCTCAGCATCCTCGCGAGGTCCCCCTCTTAGGCCTCCAGCCTCCTCGTGGGGTCCCCCACCCCCAGCCCCGGTGTCCACGCGGGGCGCCCCCTCCCTTTGCCTGGGGCACAAGGCGCGTGCCAGGCCCGGCTCTCGCGGTGGGAGCAGACCCACAGGTAGTGGCACCCGAAAAGTGTCCTGACACCCACCAGACACCCGAGGGGAGACCTGAGCCGGAAGAAGGGGTTTCAGTCCTGTCGGGTCGACGCCGCTGGGATGAACTGATAACCGGCAGCGGTGACGCGGGTATCGCCCCCGCCGGGCACCTTCTTACAGTTTAATATCGCGCCCGAGGGGCAGCGAAACACACAGATGGGGGTCAAATGTCGCACCCCACTTTCCCCAGGTCCCCGGCGTGGAATCGTTGAGGGTGCCCACCCGCGCGACCTGCAGGCCTCCCGGTCCCCGCGGCAGACAAGTCTTTTGCTTTGGGTTTATTTTAAACCACATAGGGTGTCGTGCAATAGGTTTATTATTTTTATACACCAGACATTTTAACCGCCCGAACAAACACTCCAGTCCCTTCCATCCAAGGCCAACACGAAACTACGGTCCCGTTTTGGCCGCTGAGCCGCGCCGACGAGAAGCAGCAGGGTCTGAAAGAGGAAAGTGTAAAGTGAAACGGGCCGGTTGGAGAGGTTTCCCCGAGCGCCGGCTCTCGGTTCTCAGACCAGCCCCCGTCGGTTAGAAACACCGAAGTCGCGCCCGTAAACCGCCCCTGGCCCTCTGGGGCGGGCCGGGTGCCGGCGGCTGGGAGCCCGCGGCGGGGCTCGCGGTTCTCCAAGACACCCCCTCCCCCCAGCCAGCCATGCAACAGGCAGTCTGGGTCGCTCAGATATTTACAGAAGAAAAATGACAATAACTCCACGTCCCGGGGCTGCCGTGCAATCTGTTAGTAATTTAGCGGGATGGGAATTTCCTTTCTCGGGCCTGCCAGTGGAAGCGCTTTTCCAAATTTCCACAGCAGGGAAAGCCTGCGATTTTACATAATGACTTCAGCGTGCAGGGCCCTCTCGGCACCCCCTCGTCTCCGGACCCCTCCCTGCCCCCTCGTTAAAGCAGAGTGTGGCTCTCTCAGGACACCGGCGTGGACCCAGGCGTCCGGGCCGGACCGTGCGCCGGATGCGCCCCCGCCCGCCCCCCGTTGCGCCCCGCGGGCCGGTCGAGCGGC